AGCCCTCTGAGGAGGAAATGCTATGTAAATAAAAATAATAAATTAATAATGCAAGTGTTATTATTATTTATCATTGAAGGTACAGCTCAAATGTTAGCATTCAATATGCTATTCCCTTCTCTGTGTTCTATACCTTGTACAAACACTTTGGTCCATGTTCGGTGTCTATCTACTGAGCTCTTTGAAAAGATAGAGACTTGGCTTATTCATGTTTGTATTCCACAGAACCTAGCATAAGATTTGATACAGATAAAACAAAGTAAATGACAGTTGAAATGAAGGAATTACAAGTACTGCATCATTTAGAAGTCAATTAAGAAGCCAGTACTTTTAAAAAATATATTTTTTAGTGATTTTTTTACAGAGAGGAAGAGAGAGGGATAGAATCATCGATGAGAGAGAAACATTGATCAGCTGCCTCCTGCACACCCCCTACTGGGGATGTGCCCGCAACCAATGTACATGCCCTTGACCTGAATCGAAGCTGGGACCTTTCAGTCTCTAGGCAGATGTTCTATCCACTGAGCCAAACAATTGGCTTGTCCAGACACTAGATTTATTTAAGAATAGTTACTGTAGCCAAAATCGGTTTGGCTCAGTGGATAGAGCGTCGGTCTGCGGACTGAAAGGTCCCAGGTTTGATTCCGGTCAAGGGCATGCACATTGGCTGTGAGCACATCCCCGGTGGGGGGTGTGCAGGAGGCAGCTGGTTGATGTTTCTCTCTCATCGATGTTTCTGGCTCTCTATCCCTCCCCTTTCCTCTCTGTAAAAAAATCAATAAAATATATATTTTTAAAAAAGAATAGTTACTGTAATGTAGTTATTATCCTACAACTTGAATTATCATAAGTTGATGAAATCTACTTGATTTCATTTATTCAGATTATATTTCACGGTGGTTTATTATCTAAGAAACAGGCTAATAGAGCCGTTCCAAACTTGCTGAAGAAATGAAACCCGGATAAGCCTCTCAAAGTTTTTACGCCCTAGATGCTCAAACTGAAATTAGATGAAAGCGTCTAGCTTCCCTTGCATCCTTAAGGCTCCTCAAGACTACAATTACCCTACCTTTCTTTCCCTTTCCTTTTTCCCACCCTTTTGCCCTCCGGAAAGGGCCGAACCTTGCGAGGACTTCCCAGGCTTCCGCTGCCCGCTGACGGAAGGAGCCGAAGACAGGGAGAGAGGAAGCCAAGCGACCCGCTTCGGGCCGGGGCCCTTCCGGAAAGACCCGAGTGCGTTCGGAGGGGGAAGGCGCCTTCGGCTCCGCGCGGGGCCCTCTGTCGGCCGACGTGGGGCGGCGGTTGCTGCGGTGGCGGCGGGAGGCGGCAGCCGCGTCGACGTCGCCCAAGACTGGAGCGACGTTTAAAGAAGGAGCGGAATCGCCGCGGAGTCCGGCCTCTTGCTGTCGGAGGCCTCCCACCGTTCGGCGCGGCCTGAAGAGGAGAAGCGGCGACGCGGAAAAGCAGGTAAAGAGCCGGCCCGGCCCGGGAGCGGCTGGGGCCGCGCTGCTGCCTCCGTGCCGGCCGCGCCTGCGTCTGCTTCCTCCTCCCTGGAACCAGGAAGCGGCCGAGTGGGAGGCTTCGCTCCCCAGGCCCTTTCTTTGTGTGGGCCCCGGAGGGAAGGAGGGGGCGACCGGGAAGGCCGCGGTGTGGTCCTCTTCGCCGTCAGGGGCCCGAGGGCTGCGGGTGCCGCGGGTAGGCCCGGGGCGTGGGAAGCCTTCCCCAGAGGCCCACTTGGCGTTTTCCTGGCCCCACCGCCTGCCTTTTTGTGCCTCTCTTTCTGCTCCTTGTCCGGACTTTGTTTCAGAGCCTTCCCTTCTGTCCCCTTCCCAGGGCATAACAATGCCTTCGGCTCGGCCTTATCCCCTCCCAGCGCCCCCACCCTCCTCTTCGCCACCTTCTACTTTCCCCAGCTGGCCTTATGCCCCCCGCTTTCACTGCTGATCCTATCTCTGTCTTTGCGAGACGCTGCCCTTTTGCGTGGAAGGGGGTTAAAAACCTTGGTTGCAGCCAGCTGGGTGCAAATGGAGAAGGGGAGGGAGGAGGTGGAGGAAGGAAGATGGGGTTCAGCTGCTGTTGGGAGCCGCGTGTCAGTTTGTTTCACTCCTTTGCAGCAGATGTCGTTTCTCACTTTTCCACCATCACTGGCCCTCCCCTCTCCCCCCACACCCCCGGTCCTGGGCCCACCCTAAGGGGGAGGAGAGGAAACCTAAACAAAATGAAACCAAGTCTCAGTGTCATTGGGACATGCCCACTTCACGCATTCCTCCATTGGAAAAAAAACATTTGTAAATGACAAAAATTGTGGGACCCTATTCAAAAAAACCATCTATCCAGTGAAAAGTGACTTTTTTTTTTCTCTCTCGAAATCCCCATATTTCTGAAGCCCTGGTTGCTGGCTGGCGTTGTCCAAAGGTCACCCTTTCTGATGAATGCCTAACCTGGAATTCCTTGGTACTGTTAACAAGCAATGCCTTGTTACTGATGATGATTTAAGTCCTTGATCTCTAGACTCTTCACTGTTTTAAAGCTATAATTTTGAAATTTTGAGAAGATATTTGAGATGTCTCTGTCTTCCATGTGTCCAGGGTGTCCCAAAAAATGTATACACATTTTAACAGCTGCTAGCTATTTTGGTAATTCTAAAGGGAAAAAATATTAGAAATAAAAGCATTTCTTTACCAAAAGTACTTATCAGCTAATCTATACTAATAAAAGGATAATATGCTAATTAGACCGGGAGACCTTCTGGGTGTCCTTCCAGTCAAAGCTATTTTAGTGGGGCCAAGGCAGAGGTGGTTAGGAGCAATTAGGCCAGGAGGGGAGGGCAGTTGGGGCGATCAGGCTGGCAGGGGGATGGGGAGGAATAATTGGGGGTGAGCAGGCCAGCAAGGTGGGCAGTTGGAGGTGAGCAGCCTGGCAAGGGGGGGAAGTTGGGGGCAAGCAGGCTGGCAGGCAAAGTGATTAGGGGTGACCAGGCTGGCAGGCAAGTGAGTGGTTAGGAGCCAGCGGTCCTGGATGCGAGAGATGTCCGACTGCCAGATGGACATTCCTGGAGGGGTCCCAGATTAGAGAGGGTGCAAGCCGGACTGAGGGACACCCCCATGCACGAATTTCGTGCAACAGGCCTCTAGTTTATATGTATTTATACTAAAGGCCCCATGCATGAAATTCATGTAAGAGGAGGCTTTCCTTCCCCCCAGCTGCCCTCTGGCACTCGGGTCCTAGGCTTCCCTCATAGCCCTGGCTTCATCAGGAAGGTTGTTTGGAAGGACATCCAATCTAATTAGCATATTATGCTTTTATAGTTATAGGTACTTGAGGCCCAATTCATGAGATTGGGTGAGGGGAGCCCCTCAGCCCTGCCTGCGTCCTCTTTTAGTCTAGGAGCCCTTGAGGGATGTCTGACTGACGCGGAGGTGGGAGAGGCTCCTGCCACCACTGCTTTGCTTGCCAGTCTTGAGTCAGCTTCTGGCTGAGTGGCGCTCCCCCTGTGGGAGTGTATTGAGCATCTTCCCTCTGGTGGTCAGTGCGCGTCATAGCCACTGGTCATTCCGTTGTTCGGTCAATTTGCATATTAGCCTTTTATTATAGGATTGGGGTTGGTGGGGAGGAGGGGGAAGGGCTTCAGGAGGTTGGCTAGCCCAGCCCCCAATCATGGGGGGGCGATTGGAGGTGGGGTTGGCTTTGGGGAGGGGCCACAGAGGTTGGCGGACTGGAGGGTTGAGCTGGTTGGCCAGCCACAGTGTACATCACAGCTACCGGTCATTTCGGTCATTCTGGCTTTTATATACATAAATTTTATTATATAGGATTGGATAGGGTGTCCCCGAAATATGTATATATAATTTAACAGCTGATAGCTCAATTTTGAAAATGAAATGTATTTTAATAAACATTGCCTTTATAATAACTCAAAGTGTGCATATACATTTTGGGGCGACACCCTATGTATTTTAACAACTCAGGATCATTGTGTCTGAGAATATCTATTAAGATGTGCAAAAATATTTTTCACTGATGTGATTTACTGACATCCCCCCATATTTTCTTGAGCAGTATCTGCACTGTTCCAATAAGCTTATTTTCATTTTCACTAACTCATTTGATGTGAGAATGTTCTCATACCAATGCACATAGTTCTTTACTAACAAAATGTTTTTGTGCAAATAGGCATTAAGAAATGGTAAATTTTTCCTTTATCTTACTTTTTATAGTAGCATCTGTTGATTTCATTTGGCACTCTTTAACATTCCACCTCTGGAGATTGTAAGAGAGGTGAGGAGGAGGAAGAGGAAGGGAATGAAAGAAAGGATAAGAAAGGTGTTTACTGGTTTATCCTGATGAGGCATCACAACTTAAATAAGAATAGAAGAATAATGGGATGTTTAGAGGTAATAGTTGTCAGTGCTTGTAAATGCTGATTTAGTCATTGACTGCAGAGAGTAGTTTTTGAATATTTCTTAAAGATAAGTTAAAATTTAGGAAGAGTATATATATTGCAGACTCAATTTTGTATACACCAAGTGTATCAAATTTGTGGCCTGCAGGCCACAAGCTTTTCTGACATTTAAATCATTCATTTACAGGTGAAATAATTTTTATGTGTTTATAATGAAGATTTTTCTTTAAAAAGTTTTAAGACAGCTAAATATTAATTCTTAACTCTTGAGAAAACAAAATTGGAACTAAGAAAATTAATTCTAATATTTAAAAATTGCTTAGTGGTGTTGCATGTATTTGAGATGCAAAGGAAGAGATTACTGTTCACATCTGCAGATCAGTTTAAAACTTGCTTGTCTCTTCTCAAGGGGAAGTCATGAGATTTGACACATGGTCCAAAACCCAACCCATATGAACAATTTATATAAAAGCCATAAAGTTATGCCAAACTTGAACAAATTATTTAATGATGCTGTAGCTAAAATTCTGAATGGTAAAATACTTTTGCTTTTCTTTCCTAATCTTTCATCCCTACCTTCTCTCTTTCTCTAATAGGCATGGAGAGTAGAAAACTGATTTCTGCTACAGACATTCAATACTCTGGCAGCCTGCTGAACTCCTTGAATGAGCAACGTGGCCATGGACTCTTCTGTGATGTCACAGTTATTGTGGAAGATCGAAAATTCCGGGCCCACAGGAATATTCTTTCTGCTTCTAGTACTTACTTCCATCAGCTCTTCTCAGTTGCTGGGCAAGTTGTTGAACTAAGCTTTATAAGAGCAGAGATCTTTGCAGAAATTCTCAACTATATCTATAGTTCTAAAATTGTTCGCGTTAGATCAGATTTACTTGATGAGCTAATTAAGTCAGGGCAGTTGTTAGGAGTTAAGTTTATAGCAGAGCTTGGTGTCCCATTATCACAGGTTAAAAGCATCTCACGTACAGCTCAGGATGGTAATTCAGAAACCTTACCTCCTGGTTCTGGTGACAAGAACCTTGAAGCACAAAAATCAAAAGACGAAACCCAAGATAATGGGGCAACCATAATGCCTATTATAACAGAGTCTTTTTCCTTATCTGCTGAAGATTATGAGACAAAAAAGATTATTGTTACTGATTCAGATGATGATGATGATGACGTTATTTTCTGCTCTGAGATTCTGCCTGCAAAGGAGACTTTGCCAAGTACCAGTGCAGTGGCACAGGCCCAGCCTAATCCAGGCCCTGTTGCTATTTCAGATGTTGCACCTTGTGCTAGCAGTAACTCCCCCCCTTTAACAGAAAACACACCTCCTCAGAAACTTCCTACTCCTGTGAATCAGGCAACTCTGAGCCAAACACAAGGAAGTGAAAAAGTGCTGGTATCTTCCGCCCAGACACATCTGACTCCTAACATCATTTTGTTAAATCAGGCACCACATACTACGCCACCAAATGTCACTCCTTCTTTGCCAAATCATATGTCTCCTTCAATCAATTTACTTGTGCCGAATCAGCAGACAAACAGTACTGTTTTGAAAGGAAACAAGGCCAATGACGATGAGGAAGAGGAAATTATAGATGATGATGACGACACTATTAGCTCCAGTCCAGATTCGGCTGTCAGTAATACATCTTTGGTCCCACAGGCTGATACTCCTAAAAATACCACTTTTGACGGATCACTGGTACAGAAGATGCAGATCCCTACACTTCTGCAAGAGCCACTTTCCAATTCTTTAAAAGTTTCAGATATAATTACTAGAAGCACTAATGATCCAGTTTTAGAATCAAAACATCTAATGGAGGGTCAGAAGATCATTACTTTAGATACAGCTACTGAAATTGAAGGCTTGTCAACTGGTTGCAAGGTTTATGCAAATATTGGTGAAGATACTTATGACATAGTGATCCCTGTCAAAGATGACCCTGATGAAGGGGAGGCCAGACTTGAGAATGAGATACCAAAAACAATTAGCAGTGAGCCAGCAAACAAACGTATGAAAGTAAAACATGATGATCACTATGAGTTAATAGTAGATGGAAGGGTCTATTATATCTGTATTGTGTGCAAAAGGTCATATGTCTGTCTGACAAGCTTGCGGAGACATTTTAACATTCATTCTTGGGAAAAGAAGTATCCTTGCCATTACTGTGAGAAGGTATTTCCTCTTGCAGAATATCGCACAAAGCATGAAATTCATCACACCGGGGAGCGAAGATATCAGTGCTTGGCTTGTGGCAAATCTTTCATCAACTATCAATTTATGTCTTCACACATAAAGTCAGTTCATAGTCAAGATCCTTCTGGAGACTCAAAGCTTTATCGTTTACATCCATGCAGGTCTTTACAGATCAGACAATATGCATACCTCTCGGATAGGTCAGGCGCTGTGCCTGTAATGAAGGATGATGGAATTGGGTATAAGGTTGATGCTGGGAAAGAACCTCCAGTGGGGACCACATCTGCTCCTCAGACCAAGCCAATGACCTGGGAAGATATTTTTATTCAGCAGGAAAATGATTCAATTTTTAAACAGAATGTAACAGATGGCAGTACTGAGTTTGAATTTATAATACCAGAATCTTATTGAACTCCTTTGAAATATCAAAGTTTTGGTTTGGCTTTCAGAAGACCTATAAAACAAATTAAGAAATTTTATGTGACATGTCATCTGAAGGTAGTTTAGTTGAATTATTTGTTAGTAATTTCTAGAAGCAAATTATTCTGAAGGTTTGTAGAGATTGAGAACTCCCAACCCCCAAGTATCTGTTTATATAGTTAGCTATCAGCTCACTTAAAGGGGGCAAAAAAAGCTTGGAGAGAGAGTTTCCAGAATAGAATTTGATGCAGTCTGAATGTTTTTTGAAGATAACTGGAGTTATTAGCATACCCTAGTATATCTTAAACTTTCCCCTTCTATGTTAGCACTTTACTGCTCAATTCTCAATTTTCTTAATATTGAGACTATAAATGTGTGTTGTGTTTTGTATATGGCATAAAAAGTAAACAAGAACTTCTGAAGTTGTTCTGGAAATTTTTTAAACAATGTTCCGCCTGGTTGTGTGTTCTGCTAGTCCAAATGGATAGCAACCTCCTGCCTCCTTCCATGAAAATGGCCATGCAGTCAAGTCTCATCTGAAGAATTAATTTTAGCCAATTAGATTTAAATCTTACTTTTATTGTCATAGTGTGGAAAAGACTTTGGTGGCTGGGACTATTGTATATATACCTTTGCTATGTGGTCTCTGTGGTTAAAAAAATACTAATCTCTAATGCAGACAGGAGGTGATGAAAAGTTCTGTTGCATTATTTTTGAATATTTACTCTTACGTGTTAGAGGCAGAGTAGAAGTGACTGGAGATTGCCTTTTTGCTCATTATGATTAAAAATAGTCCCATGAAAAATTTTCAAATTTTGAATATGTAAGCCACCAAAATAAATCTTTAATTCTATATAAATCTTTATACATGATAGGTTCCAGAAATGAGACTCCTATATATTTTGGGTAGGAGGCTACTGGCATATATTTTTCAATGTTCATATTACTTAGAATCTCTAATAGGAATTTTTCATTTGAAATAGCTGAATCAGTGATCTAGTACTTTCTTATCAGCAGGACCTTTTAGGTTTTTACCCTTTCGCAAATAAGTTCCATTCCATCTGCAAATTGCTGCAATGTTATAGCAATCAGAAACTATATATGGAATGTAAAATAAGCTTGTTGATCCCCATTTATCTTGAGACCAGTAAATACCACCTTTCTTCCTTTTAAATGACACATATTTAAACATTTAGAAAATAAAGTAAAAACTTATTGAAGTGCTAGAACTAAAAGGAAGCAGGTTGGAAAATATAGCCTAGCATTTATAACAAGATTAACTTGTTGAACTTCTTCTGTAAATGACTTTGCAAAGAAAAAATTTTAATAGATACTGAAAAAGATTGTTGTGCATAGTTATTAGTCATGTGTAACTTTGCTTAAGTATTTCTTAATTCAACATATTTTCTTTCTCCTTAATAATGTATTTTTTAAAATAGTCTATTTCTTGACTTCAAACTTAAAGCTTTAATTGTAATTTCTCATGTATACATCATTCTTCTGATGGTAAACTAGATTTAAAGATAATGGTTTCAGTGTTTCTAAAGTTGGTAGCTGAAGATATCAGGCATCAGTATTTGCAATAATACAAGGAGAAAGAAAAAGTAATCTGTTGCTTACTGAGGCTTAGAATGACGTACATCTGTTTTCCGTTCTTTGAGTCTATACTGTCAAAAACCATTTTGTAAACTAATCCTTGGAAAATTTTAAATTACCTTATAACTCAAGACTCGGCAATCTCCGGATTCACAATATCTACTTCCTTTCTGTGTAGATGTTGATAGTGTTACTCTTTGGCTATAAGTGCATTCTGAAATATTTCACCAGTTAGACATAATTACAAGTATGAGTGATACTGATGCCAGCAGGGCTTCCAGACTTTTTAGACTTAAGTGCTAGGTAAATTAGTTTGTCATCATAACACTTGGCATTTTCTACAGACTATTATGTCAAACCAAGAATTCTATAATGGAACACTATCCATTCTGAGTAATATGGATATTATTTTTTGCTTCTGCTGTGCTTTATGTAAATTCTTTGTCTGAGATTTAAACTGTGCCTACTGAAGGTAACTTCCAGAGTTTGGGGGGAGGAGGAAAACCGGAAAATTAAATTGTATTTTTGCCTGAAGACTCTTTCTTGCATGTATTTCAGAGTCTTCAGTTTTTCTAGAAATTTATTCGAAGTTTGGAATTCATGTGGAATATTCTAGTAAAGGGTTAACACCCTTTACTCCCAGTATTTATTAGGTTGGAAATCTGCAGCAAGACATTATATAAAACTTATTGTGGGTTTTCTTATTTTATACTTAGTTTTCTGGCTATTGAACTTCACTTTTTCTTTCAAGTTGGCCTCAAATTTGGTTATGGGATAAATTACCCATATATATTCTAGAGAGGAACTATTCGAAATAGCAATTTGTTAAGATGGCAGAAAGTGAAACTGCTCAAACTAAGCAAAGATGTTTAAATGATCATTATCATTTTGGTGGTAATTATTCCCCATATGCAACTACTATGAGGAATTAATGCTGCATTGTTTCCTATTATACAAAAAAAGATAAAGCAAATGGTAAAAATGACACAAGGTATTTTATATGGTCAAGGCATGCATATTCTAAAAAATTGCTACTCAACAGGATTGGCTTCCTCACTTCTGTCAATCATGTGAAAACTTGTCCATTTTCACCTAATGCTGTAATATTCATATTTGTACAATCTTCCCTCTCATGACTTTTAAGTTCTACATTTCAACTGTTATCTGATATTAGTTCGTAGAGATTCATATGGCAAAAATAAAATGTTTTGTGATTTTTGAGTGCATTTTTTTTAAAAGACTATCTTCCAGAAGTTATATAGACCTTTATATTCTGTTCACAAATTTTTTTTGTGTCAGGAGATTGGAGCTATATATCTAATGACAGCAAGACAGAATTCTTCATTAGGTTTTATACGTTGGTTATTTGCATGCCCATTGTATCTTGAATCCTAGTCAAAAGTGAGTCAGCTGCTGTCACTTTAGAGCAACAATTTGCAGCCTTTTTCATCTCATGCCACACATAAACTAATTAAAATTCTGTGCCAATCTGACAAAAAATAGATATATTTTGGCTCATTCACACTGGTCAGGAAGTGTGTTAGCTGTTGTCAGTTTTTTTATTTGACAGTCTAAGGGAAAAGAGGTCAGTGTCCCTGACTAAATAGGTACTGCGAGTTTTAAAAATTCTTGTGGCACATGGGTTGAAAATCACTGCTTTAAAACATTTGTGACACCCTTTGTAGATTCCATGAAGACATATGTAAGTGGATAAGGAGGAGGATAATTTTATTAATTTGAAACATCACAAAAGCAGTCGGGATTTCCAACATGGCAGTGATAAAGATTTTAAGCAGCATCCAGTTTATAGGTGCTGGGTTAATATTTTAATATTTCATGCCCCGTTCAATACTTAAAAGCAGAATTAGGAATAAAGCAGTAAATATTACAAAATACAGTTAAGGTACATATTGGAAATACAAATTCCTTCATTACAGCAAATGTTTTGCAAAAGAGTAAAGCAGCAAATATTAATTTTTAAGGTAACATGCACTTCATGTAATTTGATGTAATAAAAAAGAAACTGCTCAAATTAAGTGTTACAAAATCTGTTTTCAAGTTATTTTGTAAAGTAAGAAAAATACATAGAAATGAGTCATAGAATCTTAACACTTTAAGAAATGTGATAAATGTAGGATATAGTGTGTAATGATGCCTTTAAAAAATTAAATACTAAAGCAAAAGGTAAAGTGTAAATAGCAAAATATTTCATTGAATTACAAGTTGATACTTGTAAGTCAATTGGTTATTAGTTCCTTTTTGAAATCCAATAGAATTTTAATGTGCTCAGAACTATGGAAAATAATAGTAATTTTATGTAACAAAAGATTATAGATTTTCAGATTTCAAATCTGGATGAGACTTCATGGTGCTGAAAATTAAACTGAATGTCTTGCAAACATTTACTGTGAACAGTGAGTGCACTTGTTGTGCCTTGATAATTCTTGATGGCTGGGTGTCTGCAAGATAGATGGGAGCACCAGCGTTTGCCTGCTACCTCTAGTCCATCAAGTCAGGAGGTAGCTAAATTGGCTGGAGAAATTTCCAGTATGTGTTCTGTTTGCAGAACTGTCTAATTAGGTACCCTCCTATAGCCCTGGTATTTTTACATGATACAAGTCTAGGGTTATCAATCTTTTTTAAAATCAATCCTCAGGTTAACATAAGATTGCAATGAAAGTGTTTGTTTTGAAGTGAAGGCATGAGTGCAAAAGTGTTAAATCCATCAGGTTGGTGGTTTAAAGCTATGCCTAATTAAAAGAACTGTACAAATACCTACCACAATGTGCCAGATGGATTTTTAATCTAAAATAACACAATAATTTGTCAAGTTGGCTACATTTGAGGTTTTGCAGATTTAAAGCGGCATTGTAAAACTTTCATAATCTTTAACACTGTCATAATTGGTCTCAACAGAAACGGGACCAATAAGAGCAATAGCATTAAAACATGATCTTTTTGGGGTAGGGTGCAGGATACGTGCGGTTTGCTAGGGTTGAAGCACAATATTAGAAGATTAAATAGTCACAAAGATTAGTAACAATTTGTTACGACCCAAGAACCTAATCTAGCATTTTAACTCTGAATTTAACCATAATATTTATATCTGTAGCAAATGTATTTTGTGATACTGCAACACGTAGTAGAACCACTGTCTCCTAAGTTATCAGATATATAACATATCTCCTTAAAATATCTCACATGTCGCGCTCTGTGTATTTCAGTGCTTCTAGAACAATCAACCCTGTATCCCACTACTTGAATGGATATTGCACTTTTCCCTTTGGGAGGTACCAAGAACAAAAGCTGAGCTGAATGATCACAACAGCCATTTTTACAATACTCATAGAGAAGGAAAAGATATGGGCAGCTTTTTACAACATCCAGACACAAATAAACTAAATCCTGGTCAGAACTTTCCGTAAAGGAACTACTGTG